GGATTTAGCCTGACGCGCTCAGACAAGCTCAAGAATGCGATAAAAGCCAGCGGATTTTGCTAAATCCAGATGAATTCTGCGGTCAAACGACAGTCTGTGCTCATTGGTGGACGGGAAGGGTGGGGAGGGGTGTCAGCCAACTTGGACTTACTGGCTCGGAGAGTTTTAACGGCAACGAGAGTTGTGCCATTCCAGACAGCCCGGTATACCTCCCCGAACTGGCCCTTGCCTATTCGTTCCTTGAGGACGATGGAGGATTTCGAGATTTCCCATTTATCCACCAAATTGTGCGATAGTCCCACAGGGACCGGTTGCGATGGCTGAAGGAAACAAAAAAGAACAAGCTCAGTCTGGAAGATGAGAGAGCAGCCCAGTGATGTAACATCCATCTTTAGGAAAAAGGACAATTTAGTACGTGAGTTGGGATTAGTTTCCTCCAATGAGGACTTGGGTCTTAGTGGTGAAAAGAGATTTGGAGACAGTTTGGGGATACTCAGTGATCTAGACCGTTCTTCATAGAGAAGACGACAACCTCAAAACAAAATTCTAAAAAAAGCGTTTACGATTAAGGAAGATTGCGTAAGTGGGGTTGCGGGGCTGACCAACAGTGATGGTACTTTTCGGAGTCACGTCCGCGTCCTTCTCGCTAAGGCGCTGCAGTATACGTGAAGGCATTCTATGCACTCAAAGTGGACAGTAAATTTATGTGGACAGCAAGAAGCTGACGCGAATTAGGCAGTGCTATTCAGCGGAACTCTCGTCTTGCGTTCTTGGGGGATTTCTCCCAGTTTCAGGTGTTTGGTCGACACCACCGAGGTCAAAAGAAGTCATACAAGCGTTCTTGCAGCCATCACGACAAAACAGCTCTTTTGGCAGACCCCTAATGGAAGCTGGAGCCGCTGTGAGGAGGATAAAAATGCTTGACATATGAGCCGACTGCGGCAGCTAAGTGCTATGATACCTAATTGTTCCCTCACGCATAAAATACCTTAGAATGACAACTCCCGAAAGTCAGTAGAAAGTAGGCTAAAGCGAATAAGCAATTCTCATTATATATATATATATATATATGACATGAGTCGCTATGCCTTCGTGAAGTCGCTTTACTGAGGGCATACCTCTTTATAGACATCAGGCATCTCTCAGTCTCGGCGTATAAGGCTTTTGTGGGATCGGGGAACACGAGAAGGAGCCCTGTACTCTACATTTGGCAGGTCCTTAAAGGCTGTCGGACAAATAATATATTATCCTTGAAAGACCAAGCTGTATATATATATGGGCAGAAATGCATTAGGGCGTGACGTTTGTAGCTCAACTGGTAGGGCATTGGCTTCGCGTTAAGACCTTCTCTACTATGCGGGTTCAAATCCTATCGAACGCCGCGAGTTTTTTCACAATTGGGTCAACGCAAATTAGGCAAATCTGCCAAACCTCCTTAATAGCATTAGGGAAAAGACAAGGGAGACTGGAATCGCGATTTATGGCTTAACAGCCGTCATCAGCCAGCCATGCCCAATCCCACAGGTGGAGACCCCCGAGGCTCGAACTCTCGAGCTTGTTGGCTACAAGTCCAATGCTCTAACCACGGCACAACGGGATTGTTGCCCTGTCGGTTTCGATCGGAGGTTGGACATGTCTGCCTGACGACGGCTAATAGACCAGAAATGGTCATTCCAGTCTCATTTGCCTTTATCG